ACTTCACTTCTGTGATTTGGTAGATGTGAATTTTGGTACTTCAGAATTTGTATTTGAGTCTCTGTGGTGTTCTTTCTAGCCCAGATGCTAGGGTATGATGTTTCTTTCTGGGGAGATTCCAAAAATGTTACTGTCTGTGGCTGCGTGTACAATGTCTATTTAGAAAAGACGACTGGCATTTGCATCTTAAATTCTTTAACTTTATCTCACTGAATTTTGGAGTGGACAAAATATTGAATATCTTTTTTCAAGTGAAAAAATGTCGATTTTCGAGAGTATTACTTTAGGTTCTTGTGTATGTCTGTTTGTGCTTTCCTGGTGGCAGAAACTCAGAAAACTCTAGAGCTCAAATTTCAGCGTATTCAATTTTTTGTTAATGTGTCTACAGCTTGTTAATAAAAGCTTACTTAATGAAAGCCAACATCACCACCACTTGAATCATTTTTGCAGCCAGAAGAGTGTACTTAAATAATTGTGTATTCAGACTTCACTTTAGTAAATTTCAATAAATAGCTTCCCATAGGAGAGGTTTCTTCTGTTGAATCTGTAGAAGTTGACGATGGTACAAGCATCAGCTTTCTCGGGCAGCTTTTCTAAACACCTGCAGGGTGGAAAAGAGATCCTTCTCTCAAAATATTGAATATTGCCGGCATGACCAGTCTTGTCGCTGGTGCCTGCTGTTTTCCATCTTGTCTGGGTTGCAGGGTTCTTCACAGTGATGGGACACTGAAGTGCAATGGGATGAAAGCATGCCTGTGGCATTTTTACCCTAGCTGTGGGGAAATGACCACCATCCTGTGTCCATGACACTCTTCCTCCTCAGGACTTTTAACCTAGGCTTCAGAAGCCATCACTGGGGCCAGTCCTGGCATTTATAATGGGGATAAGGACCATTTCCAGGAAAAGTTTCTGTATCAAGGAAATCTCAGTTCTGCAGCAGCGGAATCTTTGAAATTACCTGCAAACCATCTTTTTGCAAGCGCAACCAACTTTATTTCTGTTTTTCTTAATTCCAAAAATGCTTTATTTCCAGAATGTTAATATTTAGTTAGCAGTAGGCTCTAGGTTTCCCAACCCCTCAGCCTTTTCGAAGGGTATAATAACAAATGTGTAAATGTGCTAGGGGATCCCTGTGATTTATGGAAGCTTTATATTGAATACTTTTGAAGAGGAAAGGCCTTTTGGTAATAATACTCATTTTTTGACTCTTCTGTAATATGCAACCTGAGGGTGGGGATGGGGGGACGTGGAGAAATGCCATTCTCCTACCGAGCACAAACTGTGTACACCTGTTTTACAGGGAAGTCACGGGCTCCTAAGCATTCAGTTTAAAAATGAGCAGAATTAGATGGGTATCCTTCATTGGCCCTTCATGGCTAGGAGAGGAATGGGAGAGGGAACGTAACTCATTTTGGCTTCAGTCCTTACACTTTTAAGAGACAACCCTACTCCATACTCCATTTTTTTAAAAAAGCTTCTGTAATGGTTAGTGAAATTTACATTTCAGCTCCTGCCTACAACAGTTTTCTGCCTTATTTTCTCTTCCCAGCCCTTTGTGCTGCCTCCTCGACAACCTGCTCGTAGGTATTACAATTGGCCTCAGAAATTGCAGTGCTTCCCTTTTGTTCAGCTGATTGGCTTGGTAGGTTGTATCTGCAAATTTGAAAGCAGCATGTTTTATTTTTTTACAGCATCTAAACAATAATGTAACCACATCACGGCGTTCTTAGTCACATCATTGACCTCCTCCAGCAGTTTATCCCCCTACAACACTTGAATACATTAATATCACTGTCTGTAGCATTTTAATTTAATTAGAGCTGCAGTTATAATCCTCTTGGGAAAATCGTTATCCCGCCCTCCACACACACACACACACACACACACACACGCACCCACTCCCCATAATGTTAAAAGAAAGCACCTCTGGTTTTCATCTGTCTGACACTTTGCTTTAGAGGTGGGTGAGCTGTAAGCTGGGACTGTCACCACCACCCCCTCCTTTGTTGGGGTCGGACCAGAGAAGCAGTTGTAAGAGTAAAGAAGTTCCCTTTATTTGGGAAATTAGATGTTAGTGTCCTTAAGCTTCTCTGTCTAGATGTCTCCATCTGAGATAGTGGTATTTGCTTAATTTTTCCAATTGTTGATAGTCTGCTGATGTGCCAGGGTAGATGTTAAGTGCATGCTTATTGCAATAGAGTAAAAAATGAGGACTGTGAGAGTCACCCTAGAGATTCACAAAAAGAGAGACAAAAGGAGTCTTTGTTGGTGGGATTCCCAAGAGTGTGTTTTGTTCTCCGGGGAACAGAGCCCCCTCACTGTACAGCATCCTCTTGGGGTCCCTGAGTGCTCTGCAGCCACTGAGCCCAGAGTTACCTTAGGTGTGCCATGGCTGCTAGAAGAGTGCTCGGGGCCCTAGAAGCACATTTTGCATTTGTCCCGTCTTGGTCAAGGTAACCTCTCTTGTTGCTGACAAGTCTCTTCATTGAGCCTTTGACAAAGAGCTAATGGTGTGGAAAACTGTCCTCCAGCTGAGTAGAAACCATCATCAGGAGCGTGAGGAGATCAGTGGGCCACAGTCTCTTCCTCTCTGGCCTTCCTTTTATAAGTTTTCATCATGAAGTAGCGGTTGTCTCCATCTAAAATTGTTTGGCCGGGGTTTGCGGGGGATGGTGTCAGATCCCAGAGCAGGTGCAGAAGTGTGGTGTTTCAGCGTAAGGTCAGGGAAACATGTAGAAGAGAAAGCACACCAAGGGGTTGCTTTTAAAGAGAGCACAGTGAAAGGAAGGTCCAAAGCCATGATAATTTAGTAAATCACAGTGTATACTTTCAGGGTAATAGCTAGTCAGACTCTTTTGTCAGTTGGCTGGAGATGGAGTTCCCAAGAAATGCAGTCCAGTCAGCATGGAGGGCTGGGTTTCTCCCAGCTTGCCTTGGTGGAGTTGGGGGAGGCGGGGATGAGGTGGCCTCACTCTCATGGACTAGCCAGAGTGTCTTGTGAGTTTCTCTTTGCTTCAAGGGAAACAAGAGTCATTGAATTTCGAAATGCTGTCTTGTTTTTTTCTTGCACTCGTGCAGCACCATTTGAAGACCCTTTGGCTGCCCGATGTTTTCTTCACCAAGTTTCACTTCTGCAAAAACCCTAACAAAACAGAAAGTTATTTCCGAGAATAAAGTTAACGGTAGATATCTAGACATATAGTGGGATTTTGGGGGCTGGTGTCAGACAAGAGTTGAAGAATATGGAGAATTTGTTAAATTCAAAAAACAGACTTTGAAATGCTCAAAAGCCCACCTCACCTTTAAAACCTCTGAACAGATTTTATGTTTCCTATACGTGTGGGTTATTACTAATTTTTTTCGCTTTGTTCATCCCAAACCACCCCAAACCAAACACCAAAAAAAGTATGACCCATCCTTAAGTTAAAGTTTCTCAAAATACGTGTGATGCTTGCTAAAGTTCGAGAAAAGTGCAGTTGAAAGTTTTGCCTCTGGGTGACTTTTTACAGGATATCTTAATTGACACAGAAATGAAACCTGGGATATATGTGCCTGCCCTTCATTAAGAAATTCACCAAGAAACTGCAGGATGTATGTTTAAACAGAAATATTCCAACTGCCCTAGTTGCTTCTGATAGGTGCCTTAGGGAAGGTAGAGCAATTCCATTCGGAAATTATAACAATATGTATATATTCATTTAAAATCAGAACTTCCTACCGCAACCGCCAAACTTTCTAGGCTATGAGCAGAGAAGCTTTAATTTGGTTATAGGCTGAGGACTCCGCCACTTCCCTTTGCACATTTGATGAGATGTAAAATGTTAAAGAAGTATCTTTCCAAAACGTAAACACTGCCTTCCCTTTACTTTAACGTACGATTTTCTTTTGCTCCTGAGTTTTATTTTCATAACGGCATTTTACTCGTCTTTCCACCGTATTTTTGGATGTTGTGTGTTCCACTTTACATTGCCCAGTTAAACCACAGACACTCCTGAAGTTGTGTGTATGTATGGACTGCAAGTCAACCTAGTTGGTATGCTGATCTAAGATACAAATTGCACTGCTGTTCTGCTGAACCCAGTAGTCGGTTTCTTGCCATTATTTGCGGTATTTTAACTTAAAACTCACAGTAATCCTTCTCACCCCATCTAGTTTGTTTTAATTGATCTAACAAACACTGCTTGTTTGAATTCAAATGGAGAACCCACCGAAGCTGCCCCCTACCCTTTGATAGTTGATAAGGGGTCAGTCAAACAGTACTTCTTTTAAATTCAGATACTTCTTTGTATGAACTATGAAATACTTCAGAGGGAAAGGAAATACCGATTCTGAGACGGAGAATGAAGGAACAAGGAGATATTCATTACTGTTGCAGATAATTCCTTGCAATGAAGGAAACAATTAGATGTTGGATATTTTTAGTTGTGTTTGTTGTATAGTGAGATAGGTGGACAACAGAAGAATCTTCCTCGTGGATTTAAATTCTAAATCTAGAACTTATCTTTGAAGCTGTCACTTTACTCGTTCAGCTCACTCTCTGTGCAGTGAATCTAGAATCATACTTTGATTAGAAGCTGGCGATATTGCTACAGAAGAGAAAACGTGGCTTCGATAAAGTGATGGCATTAATTATGCAACTTGGGCAAGTCATTTTTTAGAAAGTTGTCTTTAAGCCATTCTCTTGGACATATTTTTTTGTTCCGTTTTGTCCCTCCTTTTTAGTTGTACAAACCACAGGGTGTACACCTATTGACCTGAGTCCAAAGTAAAGGCTGTTTTCAAAGATGGCAGAGTTTTGTTATATAGCCCCAATGCTAGGCATCTGAAAGACAACTGTATACAGTGTCTCTACAGAGAGAGTAAGCCGGATTGCTTGGGAAGCTGGTACTGCCCATGCCCCACCTCCCTTTTGCTCCCCATCCCCAGATGGTCTCGCACCTCCATTCCAAGCTTTCATTGTCTCTCTCCCCCTCCCCTCTTCCTGCCCTTATTTTTAACAGCAGGAACGAATTTCATATACACCTCCAGAGAGCCCAGTGCCGAGTTACGCTTCCTCGACGCCACTTCATGTTCCAGTGCCTCGAGCGCTCAGGATGGAGGAAGACTCAATCCGCCTGCCTGCGCACCTGCGTGAGTGTTTGTGACCCAAGAGGGACAGACGATTGATGGCATGGGGCGGGGGTGGCAGGCAGTGGACTCCAGGCCAGAGAGTAGCAAGCTCTGAGGTGGTTTTCACAGGACTTCGCCACGCTGCTTTGGAATCTTTCACACCCCCTGCCCCCAAAGACCTCTGAAAAGTTTGAGATTCCTGTTCCTTGTTTCTCAATGTGTTCATTTCTTCCCTGACTATGACACGTTAAAAAAACAAGAAACCTGGAAGCATGCAGTATATGGCAGAGCCAACTAAATCTCCTAGTAGACAAGATGATTTGTGTGTGTGCAAAGTTTATCTGTATTCTCAAATTCACGCTTACTCAACTTTAATATTTTCTTTGGTCCTAAATTTTGCTCAGTTTGTGAGTCAGACTCACTCCTGCTTTGTGTTTAAGCCGTGCGCTGTTCTTTCTTTCCAGGGCCCTCCTTCCCCTCCCTGTCTGTGCTGGCTACTTTTCTTCCCTTCATTTTCTAGGTCTGCGTAGGTCCTTTCTCTTACCTCCTTTCCTTCTCCTCCACTCTCTCTCGCTTCTCTTGTGCTTGCTTTGCCTCAGCAGCTGCAGTCTGTAGTGGTTCCACCTTTCTCTCCCAAATCATCTCTACCCCTTGGCCTACCACTTCCCCATCTCAGTCCTCAGCTGCAACTTGGCAGAGGTTTGGGGCCCACACACCTGTGCTGCTGATACTGGCCTCCAAAGCCGTTGACACCTGCTGTGTCCTTTTTGTCTGCCTTTCTCATACTACCGCCCAGCTCAGGTGATAAAACAGGATTGGGGCAGCTGGAGAGATGAATCACCTGATTCCCACCCTCTTCACCGTATCCAAGAAAATGCCAGCTTCTCTGCCTTGAATGTTATCCTGTGGGCACAAGATTAGGTTATAGAGGACACTTGGGGTCACCGTGGCCCTTCCAGTGACTTCAGTGGTGGCACAGTCTTGCTCACCATCTCTCTCCAGCATGGTGATTCTCTTCCTGTTCCACCCTCCTCAGAAGGTTGCTTTCTGAATGCAGAGAACAATAGGAGACAGAGGATGCAGGTTCTTCCTTTCTCTCTCTGATAATTCAGGGAATTAGATGACCGTGATACTGGGGCTCCTGGGGGAACACTGCTGGCTTATGCCTTCTGCCCCGCAGTGCAGATGGTTGCTGGGATGTTTGCAAGGAGTTGGGGGCATGAGAATCCTTTCCCTCCTGCATCTTGCTGCGTCCATCAGTATTTAGGAAGTTGCTGCCTACTATGGTCAAGACATTCCTGCTTCATTTGGGCAGGGAAGTAAAGGACACAGCCCTACTCTACCATCTTTTCCTCTACTTTTAAGGAGGTTGGAACTGTAAAGGTGCCAGGATCATGGCTGGGAACATCAGTGTCCTTAGGAAACTGGAATGTTATGGCGCCATGGGAGCAGACACAACTGGAAAAGAAACAGCAGCCAAGTGATAGGAAGTTTTCCTCCAGAAGTCATCCCGTGACCGATATATTCACTTCAGAAATACTCGCCTCAGGATGGAACATCCTCATGCCACGCAGGCAGAACACTGCTGCTACCTAATTCATTCATTTATTCATCTCGCAAATAGTTATTGATTGCCTCTGCTGTGCCCGGCACTCTTCTGTGTCCTGGGGGTGCAGAAATGAACAAAGCAGAAAAAACTCCTCTGCTCTTGTGGAACTTAAATTCTAGCACAGAGAAAAAAAAAAGTTTCAAACACTCATCACAAACAGACTGAGATTCGTTTCATAACGTTTCATTTTTACATTTTGCAACATCCCCCAAGGAGGCCTTTGCTCCTGGTTCACTTCTGGATGCCTTGACATATGGAAGCTCCTTAACTACCTTCCATGAGATGTTAACCTGACAAAACAAACAAGCAAGCAAACAAACACACTGAACTGGAGGTCAGGAGATCTTAACTTTTACCTCGTTCTGCTGTTCGACTGTGGGTAATTTAACTCAGTTCTCCTAGCAGACAATACTGTGTGTGGACAGGAAAATGTTTCACAGCCTTCCTAACTTCCAAATATTATCATTCTCATCTGAGGCATCATTCTCCTTGCTTTGAATTGTTTCTTCCATAGTAACACTTGCATTTTTTCTGGAGTAGACAGTTTACTTATTGAGCCGTGTCTGTGCTGCTTACTGGCATTTTGGTAGCACCTTCTGTGTGCCAAGCACACAACCATAATAGCTAATATGTATCACGGGATTACCCTGTAGCAGACACTATGTGGAGTCCTTTACAGGAATTCTTTTTAATTCATTCTCACAGTACCTGTAAGGTAGGTCGTCTTTCTATCTGCATGTCACACATAAGGGCTTAGACAATTTAAGTAATTTTTCAAGGTCAATCATAGAAACAGTAAGAGAATAGAGTCAAGACTCAAACTCAGTTCTGGCTGACTCCAGAGCCCAGGATCTTATATCCACTATACCACCATAAAGTATGTGTTTAGTAAATATTTTTTGGATGGATGGATGGATGGATGAATTCAGGGTTGACACTTAGCCAGTGTTCGCTGATGTGGCTGTAGCATTGGTTTATGGCTGGAATCTATTCTAATTGCCGTCCTGTCTGTTCTGTCTGTTTGTTGAATGGTTTGCATATCATCCTTCGAAGCATGGATGGATCCCCACGTAGACAGCTATAAAATATAGAACTGTGGCACATTCCTGGAAACCTTGCCATTTCATCAGTAGTTAGACTGTGGATTCAGGTGATGGTAAAGATTTTGCCTGAATGCCTACTTTATGGCAGTCTAACTTTATATACCTCTCCTTGGTCATCTGCATGAGACCTATTGTTGACACCATTGGTTCTGACGTCTGTATTGAATCCTCTGGAAGTGGAGCTTCCCAGGCTCTTGCTGTTTGCCCTCGGCTGGGACTTTCCGAATGGGGCTGAGCTTCTGTCCTCCCGCTCCTGTTCTAGGATTCCGCTGTTTGTCATCCTGTTTGAGAGGAGCATATAGCCCCTACGATGACTGAAGCTGTGCCACACACTTGAAGATGCATCCCAGCTGAGTTTCCAAACCTAAAAGAAAATAAATATTCTAACCAGGGAATTGGGTTATTGCTGTTTTAATCTGGGATTCCAGACAATTCCCAGTGGAATGCTCATGGAAAGTACGGGGAAGAATCTCAAAGCCAAGACAACAGCGGGACATTTATGGTATTGCTAAGTCGGAGGCACTTTTAGCTGCTTGTTTTAAACGGACACTCATCAGATTGGTATGCCTCGAAGTGGGTTCTTTTCACCATTTTCCATTGATTACCAGATAAATCCTCTCCCTTAATTCTTCCTTTCTCTTCTTTCGTTCTTAAATCAGCACATATTCTTGGGAGTTGGGGTTAAGGGGAGCAGAGATCATAATATCTAAGGTTTTCATACAGAGAGTTTCTCACCATTTTATTCTGCAAAAACAGAGCTAGACCCAAACTGAAGACACAGCATGACAAATTAGCAAGTTATTGAGAAGTAGAGAGTGATGCCTTTCCTTTTATTTGCCAGTGATAACAGCAAAGTGATAAATGGAGTTAAGTGTTAAGTGCTGATTAGGGAGGACTTGAAAAGGACTGGCAAAGCAGCCTGGGCAGAGTGCAAGAGGAGAGCCCAGGGAAGAAAGGCCAGACCTGTGCCACCCTGCTCTGACTCACTGCCCAGATTACCAGGACAGTGCCCTTCAACCGTCCTACAGCAGAACTCCCCTGCTCACCGGGAGAGCAAACACAAGTATGTCTGTTGAGAGGATAGAAAGGGCATCATTTTTGCTTCTTCTTCCATAAAGGATACTGAATTGTTTTTGAAGCTTGAGGGTAGAAGAGCCGAAGTACAATTACAGTAGACAGGTGGGAAAAAAAAACAAGTTCCATTCTTTAAAGGAACATAAGCCTTTCATCGTAGCTTGAAAACACTTGAAAGACCAAGGACCCCCAAGGGTGCCCAGGCAAGATCACTCTTGACTCTGGCCAGAGAAGGGCTGTTACTGGGAGCAAAGGATACCTTTGCCCAGTTCTCACCAGGTGACTTGTAGTCTTGCAAGGGAGGGACGTTTTCTGATTTGTCTACCCAAAGGCCATTCTTTTTCTAAACTCATGGGGGAGTGACTGCTGAAGGGGGCAGTTAAAGCACCTCACGAGGTTCTGCCAGCCTGCTGATTGGCAGAGGCTTACCTTATGAAACACTGGGCCTCAGACAGTGATGCTCAGACCCAGCCTTACGATAATAATGTAAGTATAGTTCAGATTGATGGGGCAGAATTTAAATAATTAAATGTCTTTATTTAAAATTTCTGTTAAACGTGATCATTTCACATTTAGTTGACATTATGCCATTTGCCCGCAGACTTTGCATTTTGCAGTGTCCATTTGGCCTTCTAAAATCCCTGTCAATGATATTTAAAAATCGGAAGCTAGGACTCATTCATCATGTTTAATAGGGTTAGGGTTTATGATGTTGCGGGTTAATAAATAGCCATAATAGCCGCTCGGTGTTTTCTGGAGTCAGAACACCAGAAATAGTCCCTTGGCTCTCTTTCTTTTCCTTGTGAATCTTTCAAAATTCTTACATTACTACTCCTGCTTGTGTGTGTTTAATAATTTAATTTAATGCCTTCCTTTGGAAACGTTACCTCGCTGCTCACCCACTCGGCTGTTTTGCCTTCTCAGCAGAGTAACTGAGTTTAAGACAGCCACGTGACAGGCAAAGCTATATTAGAACCAGCATAGTGAGAAGGGATGCAGTGCCTCTTTTCTAATTGGGTAGAGCAACAATTTTATATGCTTTCACATTATGTTTGTTCCCAAAAAAAAAAGGCAAAATTGGGAGCTGAACATGATCATCGTTATTATTTTATATTTTTATACATAACAAGATGTGCTCATACTTATTGTCTCGTTTAATTGTGCAACAGTCCTTGAAGTAGGTGCTATTCATTCTGTTTGATGAGCTGACCGTGGCTCCGACAGGTCAACTGGAT